TATTTCTTATTGACTTGCCTACTAATAGTTTCACTTGAGTTTTGAAGAAAGGTAGGCTATAAAGCATATCAGTCTTATTCCCCATCTGGGGCATGGATCTTTCTTCTTTTTCGAAAGTGATACTATTACGGCCTGAGAAAGCAGTATGTTTCTGCTGCCCGAAATATGATTTTGGACTGTAGATACAGGCTAAACTGAAATTCTAATAAATCAGAGTTTGGTTTCCTTTTAATTTAGGTTATGTTTTATCTTTTTCACATGAGACTGCACATGATACATGTGCAGACAACTAGAAGAATGTTTTCCTAAGTAAGAAATGATTGTTAGGTGGTGCCTGTTTCTTACTGCCTGTACCCTCTCCTGTTCTTTCAAAGAAATTAATTTCGTGAGAAGCAGCTAGCATAAAATTGTATCAGTTACTGAGATTGCTGTTCATATGCACTGATTCATTAGCAATTAATATTCTCATTACCAGCTTTGCATAACCTTTCACAGTGCCTCACATGTGCTTCACTCTCCTCAGATGCATGGTTCTTTAGGAACCGATGCAAACCCAGACAGAAGCTTGCCTGAGGCTGGGTGAGTTTAGACCCTGGAATTGGTCCCCATTTGTTGTCACTTTACTGCTACACCTCCTGCATTCATTCAGTTGCAGTTATAAGCACTAAGTACTACTACTATCACACGTTTCTGAAGTAGAGCACTAGAAAATGGGAATTTGCTCTGTATGTGACAACTTCTCACTTTACATTTTGACTCTCAACCTATGGCTGTGATAGAAATGAAATCTTCTTTGTGGCTATGAGTTAATTATGTTAACCACAGCAGCATTCTTTCAGTTTGTTCTCTAAGCTACTTACTGACACATTTCAAATTGTTAAAAGCAATATTGTAAATTTAGGGTGGAAGATTTGGGAGGGATTTTCTGCCTCTTGTAGTGTATGCCAGAGAATGACTCTGATATAACCTCAGTAGAAACAGATGTTCTTCAGATGAAACAGAATAAAAAGAAACTGACTGTGTGCTCAAGGGGATTAACATGAAAAAAATTGTGGTAGAAACAGAGGATCCCCCCCCCCCCATATTTCACCTAAGAAGACCAATTCCTTGTGGATCAAGAGAGGAGTTTCTTCCTAAGATTTTGGGTTAGAGTGAAAGGGAGGAAAATTTTAATCTGATGGCCGAACTCCTCTTCTGGATGATGGATTCTTCCTGGAACTCCATCTCTTCATCTGGCTGACTGGGGGGCCTGAAGCAGCCTCTGAAATACCCTTTGGGAAACAGTGCTTTAGGGCTGTTTTTCACATGTGGATCCCCAAGCTTCACATTCTGTCCTGAGCTTGTGAAAGTTGCAGCACAGGATCTTACTAGGCATCCCATAGAAAGCGGAACTGCCTCAGTCTGTCCTAATCCTAATTTTCTGGAGAAATCACTGAGAAGAGGAAGAAGGTCACATCCTTGCTGTCCTGCATTTTTGTTTACAAAGCAGTATGCAGGAATCATCAAGTAGTTTCTTTTTTTTTTTTTTTTTTTTTTTCTTATAGGTGTATCTCTGGGAGGAAACACATGTTTCTCCTCATGGTTGAGCCCTGGAAGTTGCAGTTTAAATTTGATGAAGTGTTTTATTCCCCCAGATAAAAATAAATAAATAAAAAATCAGATTTAAATGCATTTGTTGATGAGGAAAGTCAGGAATTCTCCTAATTAAGACATTTCTTAGAAAGGTAAAATTTTTATCTGGGAACATAAAACACTTCATCAGTTTTAAAGCCACATCTGCAAGGACTGGATCAAGAGCAGAAACAGGTACTTTTCTTCATTCGGGCTTGTCTGTGAGTTTAAGACTTTTAACAACAGTTTTAAAAATATTTAAACCCAGTTAGAAACACTTGCAATATAATGGGGATAAGAGTGCCCTCCCTCCCTCTGTTTTTAATCTGGTTCTCTTGATGGGATAAACTACAAAGTTGAATTGGTAACCGGATTAATGCCTCATAAAACAGCACGAGGTTACAATTATCCTTTAATTTTATATCTTTATTAGGGAGTAATGTTGGTCTTATTTAAATCACTGACTTCTCTAATACTTTTTCTCCTCTTTTACAAATTTGTAAAACTAAACCCTAAAGGATTTGGTCTAAGTGCAATTGGCATAACTGCCATTATAAAAATTGTTGTGTTAGCAGTTGATTATAATCAGAAGCTTTTACTGGGCTCAAAATGTAGCAGGATTTAGCTGTTGATAGGTAGAATACTGATAAAATATTAATTCTGAATTTTATTTTAAAAAGTTAAATTTCCATTAAGAGTATTAGAATTTTGAGGTAGTGTGAAGTTGAACAACCATACCCTAGAAACTTCTAATTTAGCATGTTCATGCAAAAGATGTCTTTAACACACTGGGTACTTCTGCAGACCTTGTCTTTGTCCTAAAATTCAGTTAAGTAAGTTTAAAAATTTGTGAAGGTCAGTCTTTTTCAAAAGGGGACTAATACAAATGGTATATCTAATGATGCATTCCAGTGGATGCATACACCTGAATTTTGGACCGCAATACTGTGCATGAATCATATGCAGTTCTTTATAAAACTCCTGTTGGACCTGCATGGTCAGGATGTATTTCAAATATTGATACATTTTATTTTTTTAATGAAAAAGGTGACATCCATCTGTTGATTTCAGTATGCTTTAGTTAAGATCCTGATAAATATGGAAAGAAATGTGAATATGGTTCCGTCTGTTGTGGCTCCATAGTGAAGTAGTAGTTGAGTTTTACACAGAAAGTGAGGGATCTGTCACTTTCTGTCACTGACAGTCAGAATTAGGGCATTTAATGTTTGAATACAAACCAGGTACTGACTTCCAGTCAGTAAACTTAAAAACTAGTCAAACAATTCATTCCGAATTTTGTATTTTACTACCAAGTGCTTGACTGTTTCTTTCTGCAGGCAGTCTTACTAATGCAATAACATGCACATACTTCAAACTCATAATTAAATTAGAGCAGATTTTGTGTTTAAGTTATTCATGGAATATTTTAGGAATATTTGTAAAAAATTGCCTTTATATTTGGAATTGCCTCCTTTGGCAGGGGCTGCCTCAGGAAATGCCATGTAGAGCTGTGTTTTATCACAATACCCATTGTTCTTGGTAGGCTCCTCTCTGAAATTTACCTATAGTGGGTGTTTTAGATAAGCCTTTCAATTTCCCTTTTCTCTCCATTGGATGAAGACTGCAGGAGATTTTTACAAATACAAGGGCGTGGACCCCACGCTGACTGAAAAGCCGTGGGAGGTGGTTACTGTTTTGGTAAATGCATCATGGGTGAAGATGTCAGTGTCTTGGAACTGAGAGGACACTAAAGCTGTTTTGAAAAACAGGAATTATTTTCAGCTTTCTGGTAAGGTGAAATATGTGCAACATGATTTGCTTACACCTAGTATTTTCCTTATGTAACATCATGGCAAAAATTAGCACAATGGGAATGAAAATACTTTTGCAACTTAGAGAAGAGGAAAGGAAAACAGGAGGGTGTAATCTGGTGGCAGGAAAAATCCAGGTGAGACTGGAAAGAAAGGCTGGAGCTGCGAACGTGCATGTGTGTATGTTATAGGAAACACATGATGCAAAACACAAGGGAAAATGGGGATTTATATTTTCTTGAGCAAACAGAGGCATGTCAGCTAAAGGCACTTCAAACTAAGGAGATAGACACAGGGCAACATAGGGTGCAATAGGTTGTAGCTATGGTTCTTTTCAAATGTTCTGTGAGTGCCAGCAGAATTACACATTGTTGAACCTCAGATAAGTAATGGTAACATTTATGCAGGGTGGAGGTAGCGTAAAGTGAAAGTGTTTGCAGGTCAGAACTGAAAACAAAGATCCGTAATATGTCCATGTTGTTGGATATACTGACAGGTAATGGTTTCTTGGGCTTCTTGTTGATAAACAGATCCATGGCAATATTGATAAACACCTCATGGTTGTTTGGGTTCCTTAATTTATGTGTTTAGATACTGTTATATATTTTGTTATCTTTTAAATGTAACACAAGCTTTGATTAATAATATTATGATTATTACATATGTGAAGTATGCCTGGCACATGCTTTGTTCTAAATGATGCAAATATGTGTAAATCCAGAGTGGATCTTTTCTGAGAATGGCAATTGTAATATAATTGTGTGGCTCTATATATAGTTAAGGTCACTGTAATCATTTGTATACAGAGCTCTTAGAATTTTTCCACTGAAGATCTCAATATTTGATGAGAGTGATTCATCCTATGAGAGAAGGCATAGACATAGCAGGTAGTTAGGGTAATGTCTGTCATTTAGCACTTTGTAGGGAGCTGCTTGTTATAAACCACTTTGTGCATTTTATTTAATCCTAAAGGAATTTAATGGACTTTAGAGAGGGGACTTCATGCTGATAATTGCATAATAAGCTTTTTCTGCTAGACGTTTAATGACTAAGAGGTTATCATTAAATGTGTATTAAGCAGTTTTGTTCGACCTTTTATAATTGTCTTTCTAATATGTTCTCCCAAGGGTTATCTTTGGTGTCTACTTAAACAACTGCCTGCGTTAAACATTTTAGCTTTTTCATAGTTTTATTTTTATAACTATTTTTCCTTGCAGGAGTTGAAGAAGATCAGGTTGGACGAGGCCTTGGGTGACATGGTTTAGTGTGAGGTGTCCCTGCCCATGGCAGGGGGGTTGGAACTTGATGATCTTAAGATCCTTTCCAACCCTAACTATTCTATGATTCTATGATTCTAAGTATTCCTGCGTCTACTGGTATATTTTAGATACCTTCCCAGAATAATACGGGAGGTGTTGAAACATTTTATATGAAATTAGGCTTCATAGAAGCCAATGGGACCTTTGCTGTAGATTATAGTAAAACCACTGCCTCAGTTACTGTGTTTATTGCAGATTTGCCTTAGAAGTGAGGCCCACAGACTAACACATTAATTTTTTCTCTTCTTTTTTAATTTAGACTACTGAGCTATAAATTGAAGGGAAGATAATTTCTGCTTGTTGGGGAAAAAAACAGGTGAATAACCTCCATGGAAGACTCTCAGGATCTAAGTGAACAGTCAGTAAGTACAAATGCTGCTAAATCGAATGGAATAAACTGAATTCTGTTCAAGTTGTGTTCAAAGGGATTTTACTTCGGATTTGAGAATTATGGTGAGATCTGGGGAAACCTTCTGAGCTTCTAGATTGAAACATTTTCTTAGCTCATACACAAAATGAGTGGGTTTAATCTTTTTTACCTCTTGCAAGGTAAAAGCTCATAGTTGTATAGGATTTTGCAGAAATAGAATTGTTGGAGGGTTGATGCATGTGATTAAGGTACACTGGAAAAATAGTACTGGAAGAAAACTTGCACAGTCATATACCTTGTTCAAATAATTGTATCAAAATGTGTATCCATAATGGTCTGTCAGTTTTGCCAAAGTAAGAGTTATCAAAACACAAACAAGAAGTTTCAAATGGTCAGGCTGTGGCAGATGACATACATGAATTGTCTCAGGACTCTCCTGCAGTCTCAAAGGGATTGTGAGAGTTGGCACTGTATCTCCCTGTCCCATGTCAGAGGGTCATTCCTCTTGTCATTGATGAAATAGCTGCGAAAAATGGGTGAATATTTCATCTCCTTTTTCCTTTCTAATTTTTACTTTTCTTTAAGGGTACAGTCTCCAGACTTCTTTACCACCAGGCTGCAGTTCTAAGGAGGCAGCATGCTCTGATCAAATTTATAGTTGGCTGGGCTTGCCATCCTATTTGCTTTGGTTTTAACATCTTAATTTCTAGTGGTCACAGTACTGGTAGGTTTTGCAAGTACCATGATCCCCAGGAGTCTCAGCTTGTGCTCAGTGTACTGAAGATCAACAAAGGGATTTCATATTTCTATTTCTGACATGCTGAAAAAGGTTATCCATGTATTAAACTAGGTTTAATGTCTTTTTTTAATAGCAGAGACTTTTATAGGTAACACAAGTGCAAGGAACTGAGTTGTGTGTATTTTTAAAATGTCAGTAATCTTTAATAAGGAGTACTTTGCTCCTGACTGGATAGCTCCTATCTGAGACTTTATCTTGGACTAGAGTTTTATTGCTCATTTAAAATGGCACAGAATTGGAAAGTCTTAACAGTGTAAAAGCTACATGGCTTCATAATTTAATAAAGTTTTATAAAGGTCATAAAAGATTAAGCAGGAGTTCTCTCATAGTCTGTGAAATAATTACTCTGGGCAGCGTACATGGTAGGTTATTAATAGGAAGTAGACGAGCCAGTTTAGCCTAGTGCAAAAATGTGTTTTCATAGTAGTTAAGATGTTTTTGCACCACTGGATGCCTGATAAATGCATACCTTAGTAGCCATTTTGCTACTTCATCGTAGTCTAATTTTTGTAGTATTCTTCATAGTTACTGTATAGCTTTATACTAATATATGTATAAATATATATGTATATATATATATTTATTATATATAATATAATAAACAGTCCGAAGTGGTATCTGTGCCATGTTGCATATTGAGGTAGGATTTGCTGTCCTTACACTATTATTGGTGTCACAGAAAACTGTGATTCAAGACAAGAGATTATTCTAAATCTTTGCTGAATCGTGGCAGAACTTCAATGTAATGAGTGGGAAGAGTCCTGTTTCGTCACTCCTTTTGTACAGGTGGGCACCCAGACTAAGATCTCACTAAGGTTTTGAGCACTGTTCTGGGAAAAGGAATTGTGGTGTGAGGCCCATCTGCCTAAAGCAGATACTGAACCTTTATTTCTTCACTTCAGCAGCAAATTAAAAAAAAAAAATAATTAAAAAAATCAAAAGAAAATAGTGTTCCTTGTTTAGTTCTTTAAAAGCTGCAGGGCAGGACTGTAGGCTAGAGATCCCAGGTAGAAGGTGGCATTCTCTAGCCAAAGCTTTGGTGGTTTAACCTCTAGAAAAACATCAAGTTTATATCCTACAGCCCTTCATACTGCCCTGGTGTTCTGTACCGGGTAATGTGTTATATGCTGGTTAACTCTAGGCAGTTTCTGCTCATCATGCAGGATTTCTGGGTCTTGACATGTTCAAAGAGCCTAGGTACTTCATTCTGCCTTCAAGATTCTTGGCTGGGAGCTGGGTGCATAAGATTTAGATCATGGAAATTCAAGGAGCCTAAGGATCTAGCTGCTGCTGTGAGCGTATTAGACTGTGTGAATAACCATGAATGCGAGACCTGTGGTCAGACTTGTGCTGGCACCTTGCCCCGAATATTCTAGTCCTTGGTTACTTGAAAGACTGCCTGTTTCTGCAACTGAGAGGGGTTAGAAGGTGCTTGCTGTTGAATGGTATGTTTGATGGACAGTTGAGATTTTTGAGTAGAGAGATTCCTTCATTGAATTAATTTCCCTGGGTCTTTTAAGAGGCTTTAATCCGTGGTAAAGGAGTCCAGGCACAGTTACTTGGGACAGTGAACAGGGTTAATTTTGAAGTTTTATTTTAAGGAAAAGAAATGGGGCTAATTTTGGCAAGTAGGTCTTCCTCCTGAAGTCTGATGGTCTGTAGTGTAGCATTTATTCTGACATTCTCCATAAACCTGAGATCGCTATAATTGTTCTAACTCAAGTTTTTGTTGTTTACCCTGTCTCCTCTTAAAATACACTCAGAAGAAATGATTGGTTCTATGATTTGTCTTTTTGAACTATATCAGAGTCAGGTGAAACTCATATGATCACAGCTGTGAACAATTCCACAGCATCCCTGTTGCCATATAAGAAATAAACTCTTCCACTTTTGTCTCAGAGCAGTGACCACATGCTGCTTCAGAAATCTAAGTGTGCCCTGTTTAGAGGCTGTTCTCCAAGCCTCTAAAGAATTACATTTGACTGAAATGAGCAATTGCTGTGTTTTCTGAGCTGCAGGATTTATTAGATGTAATGTATTTACCATTTATTGCATTATGTCAATAATTCATTTATTTTTCCAATTTTTTTCTTCTAGCAAATTCCTTGCCCGGCTACATTTTTAAATACTTATGCACCAGAAGCTGGTGTCCTTGCCTGTTTATTGTACTGTACAGCCTCCATACTGAGAAATCTGTTGTGCTCCCTTTCCTTTGCTTCTCGCTTCCAGTCCCATGTGGCAGAGGTGGGGATTAATCTAGATCATACAGTGATAAAAAGAGTCAGAATTAGAGCAGAGTTTGTTTTACTTTGGTTTTCCTGTCTTTACACATCAATCACATAGGTAAATAGCTGTATTTTGAAGATCAGCAGGAAAATGATGCAAGTTACTACGAGACACAGAGGAATGCTGGGATCCATCAGGTGCAGCTGAGATCCAGTGGGTTCCTGCAGCTAGTGTGGAACAGGCTGGTCTGGGATATATCATGGTACTGTACTTCTTGGGGGGGGTGTGTGTCCTGAAGAGCTCACAACTCTCTTTTTCTGTCCAATTCAGATGCAGAATATGCTTGTACATCTATGCATAGGAAGGAGATTTTTTGTTCATTGATAAAAAGGTTCATTTGATAGTATTCTGAAAAAAAAAAAACAAGAAAACAGTAAGACACGTATCTCACAGACAGAAGAAAATAACCAAATGGTCCTTTTTTTTATGTTCTAGTGTGATGTCTGTCACCATGTGCAGGCTACTGCTGGTCAAGCAAAAGAATACTTAAAGCCATGTAAATTGGTTTTACGTGAACAGATGTGGCTGGGTAAAAATGTAATTTTAGTAACTGTAGTTTCCATAGACTTTATATACACTAAATTAGAAAAAAAAAAAAAAGATAAAATATGTTAGATTTTATGTTACTATTATTGCTACCCTTCAAAATAAATGTGCTGATTTATACTAAATTCCAACTAGAAACACTTTTTTCAGAAGATGCATGTTAAAGATTTTTCTGTTGAATTTTGAAGTGGGGTAGATCTTGTATTTATGAAGAATCTAGCAGTCAGAAGACAAAATTTTTTTAAGACTGGTCTTGGAGATGGTAAATAAAATGATAAATGTTTTGCACCTTAGTGGTCTTCTATTGTGCCTTGATATAATAAACACATACAGGATTTTGAGAACTGCAGTTTTACACTATTTTTTCGTCTTGTAGCCATTCTTTGCTTTTCAATCTGTATTAGTAGAAGTAAAATAACTTGGCCACTAACTTGCTAGTTTAGGGTTTCAAACGGCTTTATTAGAAACCGGTGTAATTTCATCCCCTGGCCCTTTTAGGGCAGCAAGCATATTTAGAGTACTTTATTTTAACTTAGAATTAAACAATAGATTACAATGCTGTGGGACAGGATGCTAGCAGATGTGAGACTAAACCTGAATGGACAGGTTTTCATTTTTGTGACATTTGGACAATCATCCCCATTGTGCCCTGGGTAAAGTATTTGTTTTTCATCACATTGTACAGGCTATCATATCTGTTACTTGCATTTATGCCCCACTTGCAACTGGTCAATCCCTGGCAACCTTTTTGGACAGTGTTGTTTCCCCATTTTTGTTTTGTTTTAACGTATGAAGGTGTCAGGTGTGATCCCTTGCAGGTCAGTTTTCAGCTGTAGCTACTTCTCTGTTCCACAAACCCTGCACCTGCAGTATTTAGTCTTCTCCCCTCTGGGTGGGCAGCCTGTTTGCATGCTGAAAACTTTGACTGAAGCTCATTTCAATTGAATGAAAAGTGGTTTAAACTCTTTTACTGAGTTTTCAATGTCATTCTTTAAAAGACTGTTCTGTATCACAGCATAGAATGTTGTGGTTCTTACCTCTGTTATACCAGACTTGGTATAGGTAGGATTTGGAATATTACAGGGGATTCATCTTGTCAAATAGGTGATGTTGGTTAAAAGACGCCCCGTACTGGAATTTTAGGGATGAAACTAGCTGGGAAAATTGTTACTTCCATAAGCTACATGAACTTCCCTCAAAGTAGATACTGTCTTCTACACAGAGGACTCAAGATTCCTGGAGCATGGAATTCTGTATTAATAATGATGTTATAGCTCTGATACTATAAGGATATCAGAGGCAAATTCTATTTTATTGTAACAGATAATATCACTAGAAAAAACTTTCAGGTACAAAAACTT